TTGATGCTGTGCTCAAAACCCAAAAAGAAGCCCTTCAGCCTGGGGCAGTTTTAAACTGCTTTTAGGTAATTTGGCTCAGAACAAATCTATGCACTTAATTTGTTCTGGTTTAAAAGTAGTACATGCTCATTATAAAAAATAAATGTGGAAAACCAAAAAAACATGGTGTAAAAAAGAAAATGAAAAAAGCACCTGTGTTCCCACTCCTAGAGATAATCGCTGTTGACATTTTGCTGGAGTTGAGATTACATGCGCATACCATTTTCTTCCCTGCCTTCTCACCGAATCTGCAATGAGCAATTATTTTTTATGTCATTTCTCTTCGTAAACCTGTTCAGAGGCTTTATACCGTCTTGTATTGTGGTACCATAATTTATTTAACTTATTCCCAATTGTTGGACATTCAGGTGGTTTTCAGTTTGTCCCTATTGCAGAAAACCCAGGATCATACATTTTTGTACATTAAGTGCTGAGAAGCCCTACCCACAGCCATAGAGTGTGTGTGTGTGTGTGTTGGGGGAGGGGGGTAATCCAGGAAAGGCCATGTGACTTGGGTTCCAGAAGCTTAGCTGGGTGTATTTTGATCAAGAGAGGGTGGTTGGCAGAGCAGGGAGATGATCTGGGACCCAGCTGCCCCTGCCTGCCCTAGACAAGTGCCCTGCAAATGTCCCCACAGTCTCCAGAGCTCCGGGGCCTGATTCCTGCCCACAAGTATCCTTCCTTTCAAAACTTCCGGGAGATTGGACAGGTGACTTTCCAAGGCCTCCTGGTGAAGCAGAGAGAAGGCAGGGGTGAGTGTGATGCATTAATCTGTTCTGAGGACCCTGAGGCTGGTCCTCCCACCCCACCCCCACTGAAAGACCTTCAAGGACCCTCACGGCTATAAGTAGGGAGGGCATAAAGTAAGATGAGCTGGAGGAGAGGCTGGGGAGCCTTTGGGAACCATGTAGTAGAATTCTAGAGAGTGGCCAAGATGGGGGACTGGCAGGGCTGGGAGTGGGCAGCGCAGGGGGAGTTAGGAAGCCCAGAGAGGGCTGCATGGCTCTACTGTCCATCTGGCAAGGAGGTATCTTGTCTTTCCTTTGCCTTCCTCAGCCTGAGCCATGATAGGGAAGGAGACGGCTCTGCACCTCACTGGGCTCTGAGCATGGTCTTCTACCCCTGACTCTTAAAAGGGGACAAGGAATGGGGGGATTTCACTTCTGTGGGGCTCCTTCTTGAGACTATGGGATCATGGGATGTTAGTGCCACCATCAACATCAGTGACCATCTAATCCAACCTCTTTCGTTACAGATGGGGTAACTGAGGTGCCAGGTCAAAAAGCTAATGGAGGGGGTGACCAGTTAGCTCAGCTGGTTGGAGCATCTTGCTGATAACACCAGGGTTGCTGATTCAGTCCCGCATGGGCCACTGTGAGCTGTGCCCTCCCTGAGAGAGTCAAATATGCCATTGTAGCATGGAAGCAATGGGTAACCAGTGACCATGGCTGTTCCCCCCCCAAAAAATGTTTTTAAATCTAATGGACATGAATCAGGAATGGAACCCCAATATCCCTGACTCCCAAACCCATGAGGCTTATAGTCGCATGCAGTTCAGCTCCGCATCTGTGGGTCGCATCTGCTGGTGCAGAGAGGCTATGAAGATGCCCTTGGGGGTCAGAAGATACCAGTCCTGCTGGGAATCTGCCCAGAGGCGCCCATACACAAGCCTCTGTTGTGGGCACTCCCAGCTCCCCACTTGCAGGAAGGAGCCCTCCCACATCACTGTAGTCTGAAGGGCTCCCTGCATTTTTCTGACCCCTGGGGAGGAAGAAGGAGAGAGAAGTAGTGAGGACCTGCATTTGTGAGCATGGAGATCAGTGAACTAAGCTCCACCTGCTCCCTAGCCTGTGTGCCGTCTCTGCATGCAGAGAAGCTTCTGCCACAGCTGGTGACAGCCCAAGTGGAACTTGCAGGTGGTTAATGTGCCAGCAGGGCCACCAGGCACATGGCAGCCCAGTGTTTCCAGCACCGTCTCCGCCCTCCGTGGATGAAGAGTTGGACACTTGGGCCACATGCCCTTCTTTACACCCCTCCAGGATTCTTTGTTACACATTCTTGGAGCCCAGCTCCAGAGACCACTTCTCTCAGGGGCTCAGAGCCTGAGGCATAGGCAGCCTCTTCCTTCTCCTTTGCCCCCAGGCAGGCAATAGCCCACCCTCCTGCCTCCAAGCAGGCCTGCCAGGGGGCCCAGCCTCCCATGGACATACCCTTAATGCTTGATCTTTTCCTTCCCCTAGCTCCATTCTGGGGCCATGCTCTGTCTTCAGGTTTCCCAAGAGCCAGCTTTCTAGAATCCAGCCATTTTGTCTTGGTGCAGAAATAGAAATGGCCTTTTGCCAGGCTTTGGCTGTGAGTCCTTGATGGGGAGTAGGACTGGGGAGGAGGTCTAGATAAACCCAGTCCTGGGAGCAGAAATCTCTTCCAGTTTTCCCTTTACCATTAGGTGAGTAACAGCCTGCCCAGAAGACTTAAGGTCAGAAGTAAGCACAGCAGCCCCTCCCACTTATAACCCACAATGCACTTGCATCTCAGCCATCTCTTTGGATCTTCAAAATAACCTTGTAGGCAGGGATTATCATCTGCACTTGGCAGATGAGGAAACCCAGAAGGGCATGAAAATTTGCCCAAAGTATCAAGGCCAAGACCGACTCTCCAATCTGTGGATTTTAAATCCAGGGCAAGACATGACCCTGTCACCCTCCAGCTTCATGATGTTTGCGGGAGGCGGAAAGCCAGGTCCTGGGGGCCACCTGGCCTGCCTGTCCTCTTTCTCCCTGCTCTGCTTCTATCTGACACACCCCACAGTGTGTGTGGGTCTCTTGTAGACACACTTAAAGGCTACCTTTCCCTCCTCCAGCCAGCCCTGAACACCTATTTTGCACCCTTCCCAGGTATACAGCAGGTGCTCAGGACTGGCTAAAGAAGCAGCAGCAGCCCTTGAGCGCGTCTACACTTCTAGGTGGGATTGCAAGTCCAGCCCTTGGTGCACAGGAGGCCCTGCCTTAGATCCCACAAGAACTTCCCAAAGTCACAGTTTGCCTTAGACGGAAGGTTAGCCTGAGGTACATCCACCTGAGACAGCGGTTCTCAACCTTCCTAATGCCGCGACCCCTTAATACAGTTCCTCATGTTGTGGTGACCCCCAACCATAAAATTATTTTCGTTGCTACTCTATAACTGTAATTTTGCTACTGCTATGAATTGTAATGTAAATATCTTTTTGTTTTCCGATGGTCTTAGGCGACCCCTGTGAAAGGGTCGTTCAACCCCCAAAGGGGTTGCGACCCATAGGTTGAGAACCGCTGACCTAAGTCCATACCTGGGGAGAAGCAACCTGTCCCAGGAAGAGCTGACAGCTGTTAGCACGTGGCACATGCAGAGGTCTGAGCTGTGGGGTCCCATCCAACCCTAGGACAAACCCTCCCTCAACCCAGGATCTCACCTGCCACTAAGTCCTGTCAATATCTCCCAAGGCCCGTCCCCTTTTCTCCATCTCCCCACCATTGAGTCCTGGTTGTCCTCAGGTGAACTGAAACCATGGCAAAGCCTCCTAATGGTGCCAGCCCTCTCCAAACCATTTCCCACACACAGCTATGGAAAGACTTCAGGACCCAAATCTCATCTTATCATCCCTGCTGAGACCCTGAAGCCCCCTTAGACCAAAAGGGGACTGCATGGTCTGAGCCACATCAGCCTTCTCCCAGGCTCTCAGACCTACCATCCTGTATCTGGCTTCTGCATGAAATATGTTCCCCCTCCCCTCACCTTGTCAGCTTGTCCTTTTCCTTCAGATCCCAGCCTCAAAGCCTTCCCTGTGCCCCTGTGTGAGTTCTCTCCATCATGTGTTCTTACGCCCCTGTGGGACTTCTTGAGGGCAGCCATCTTCTCCACCAGACCATAAGCTCCGTGATGACAAAGTGTGCATCCTTCTCCCTCTCCCTCTTCCTGCCTTTCTCACCATCGTATCCCCAGCATCTGTACAGTGCCTGGCATAGAGCTTATGCTCAATAAATACGTGTATGTGTTGACTGGATAAATAAATGAACCAATTCTATGAGGTAGGTATTTCTGCGCTCCCCAATTCACAAACAAAGAAATTGAGAAGTTTATGAGAAGTTGAGTAGCCAGCTCGAGGTCCCACAGCTGGCCAGTGGTCAAGGCAGGGTCTGAAGCAAATCAGACTGCAGAGCCTGCGCTTCTAACCACTCCCAGTCCTGCATCCGGCTCCCTGGCTTCAGTGTCTGTCTGTCTTGCGCTCCCAGCAGGCTCTCTGAGGACTGCTCAGCTGGCCCAGTCTCCCCATCGGGGAGCTGCCCCCAGAACCATGGAGAGTCTAAGTGAACTACAGAACCCGCTGCTGCCCCAGAGCACCGCCCACCTCCATGGCCCCTACCCCTACCCTGAGGCCTCACCCAGCTGGTCGTGCCAGGAGAAGCTCTACTCCTACCTCCTGGGAGGCGCTGGCCCTGCTCAAGCCCACCAGCTCCTGGATCCAGAGTCCCTGCAGCTCGCTGTGGAGGCCTGGTACAGGCCCAGCTGCCTATTAGGGAGGGACAAAGTCAAGGAGCCCAGGGCAGGCAGCTGTGAGACCAGCTTCACAGAGAGCAGGGAGCCCCAGGCTGGGCCCATGGAGCAGTCCACAGAACATGGCCAAGTGGAAGAGGATGTCACCATCCAGACTGTGTCCTATGGAGTTCAAGAGGAGCTGCAGGACCAGGAGGACTTCCAGGAGGAGGAGGAGGAGGTGAGAACATGTGTTTAAAATACAGTTTCCCAGGCCCGCCTCCGGGTGTTGAGATTAATTAGGTCTGGCTTGGGGCCTAGGAATCCTGCCAAGAAAGGCACTCCTGGCACATGAGTTATCTGCACTTTGAGAAATACTAGCTTGGGTTGACTATCTAATTTTTGTTTTTACGAGAGAACAAATCCACTTTATTTACCTTTCAAGATTCTGGGTCCAATGGCCTTAGCAGGAAGGTTGCTTCGGAATTTGGCAGGAACCATGCTACTGTTTCCATGAGCACGAGTTACCTTGCCCCAGATTACTCTGGTTTTGTTTGGTTTGCCACCAGGAGTCGCTATGTTGTTCTTTGCCTTGTACACGTAAGCACACCTCTTGCCTACATAGAATTCAGTTTCATCTCAATATAAACACCTTCAATTTTATGGAGAGCTGTGGCTCTCTGTTTCTGGAGACTCTGCTTAAAGCCAGCAAAAATGGCCTTGGATCACAGCCCGCCAGACACATTTGTCGTTTTAGACGTCCTGTTCCCAGCAGGCCTCCACAGGCTTCAAGATGGCGGGGGGTGGGGTGGGGTGGGGGGGAGGCTATTTAATTTTTAAATAGCGTTTATTGTTCTTGTTTTCTTAATTATGTAAGTAATTTACACCTAATACAGAAAACCACTGGAAGATAACGTTATTATTTTAGTAGAGGTCTTCTAGTCTTTTTTTATTCGTGGTTTTTTCCCACCCACCTCTCCAAGAGGGATCTTGCTGCACCTAGTTTTATAATCTGATTTTGTTCTCTCTAAGCAACACATTTCAATATTGCTCCACATAATTTAATCTTTATTACAAGGTAATTTTTAAGGGTTACATGGTATTCCATTATAAGTTCTCCCATCACTTACTTAGTCAATCTCCTGGTCATCGGGCATTGAGATTTTTTTCTAACCTTTCACAATTACTATCAGATGATGAACATGCCTGTACATATACGCTTGTATTCTTTCCTTGTGATAAATCCCTAAAGATGGAAGGCTTGGTAGAGTGTCGAGCCCAACCCACACTCCCATCAACAGCAGAAGGGACTGCCTGTTGCCCACATTATTACCACTGGGTGACCCTGGGCCTGGTCACAAATCCCACTTGTGTTTTGCAGAGTGACGGAACTTCGACAGAGAGTGAGAGTGAAGACAACTTCTTCACACTGCCCCCCAGGGATCACTTGGGGCTCACTATCTTCTCCATGCTCTGCTGCTTCTGGCCACTGGGCATCGCTGCCTTCTACTTCTCCCAGGGGGTAAGAGCACGTGGGCCCCAAGCCTTGCGCTCTGGCCAACTTCCTTCACTGGAGGGCTTGGCAGGAGCATATGCAGGATGGGGGCAGGGGCCTGGTGGGCTGGGGCTGTTTTGCTGGATGTAGGGGTGTTCCATTTCATCAGCACATCTCTCTCCCTAGACCAGCAAGGCCATCTCCAAGGGGGACTTCCGGCTGGCCAGCACCACCTCCCGCCGGGCACTCTTCCTGGCCACACTCTCCATCGCCGTGGGGGCTGGTCTCTATGTGGCCGTGATGGTGGCTCTGGCAGCTTACATGTCCCAGAATGGCCATGGTTAGAGGCCTGTAGGACCTGGCATCCTGACTCCCCTGATCTGCCTGAGGAGGCAGCAGGGCTTAGGGTTGCAGACTCTCTGAAGAGCCCCGGCCCCTGAAGACAACCCTTGAGGGTGGCTTGTTGGGAGGGAGGGGGCCTCAACCTTCACTGTCTCTTGCCCACTGTCCCCAGCCTCAGAGCAGGACCAGAGGCACCACTCTTCAACCCAGGCTGTTTTGGGAAGCAGGAGAGTGTAGCGCTGCCCACCACACCAACCAGGCAGGGCTCACTTCTGGCTTGACGCCGGCTTGGAGCTCAGCCCACTCAGTCTACTCGCTAGAGGGTCTCTGCCCTGCAGGCAGCCCACTACACAACTCTGCCAGCCTCTCCACAGAGAAAGAACAGGAGGTCATAGGGAGGAAAAGGGGTGCCTGGGGGCTGGGGGAACTCACCCAGTCCTTTCAGCCCATAGGAGTCTTCACCCTGAGGAAAGCCTGAGCTTCCCCAGCTGTCCCTTCTGGCCACATGATGCCCAGACCTTGCCGGCCAGGAGGGAAATACACAGAGACACATGGGCCCCTTGCTCTTTCTGTCTCTGGAAGGTGCTTATCTTTCTGATGGGCTTGTAAGACACTGTCGATTCTATATAGAGAAGAGGGGTCTGAGGCATGTAAACGCTGCACCAAGGGCAGGTTCTTGGAGCTTCTCTGTGCAGGAACAGAAGGCAGATGCAATGACAGAGGTCCTGAAATATTGCCGGATTACACGGGACTCCACTCTGTCCCTGGTCCCCGCTCCCATCATCCTTTTCTGGGCTCCTCCTGGGAGGTCCTGAGCTGGCACCATCCCAGGAAAATGGAGAGAGAGAGAGAGAGAGCTACCAGCCCACCAGCCACTGAGCACAGGGCCTCTCTCACTGAGTGTAGTGAGTGTAGATGAAGGGAGGGACACAGGGCTGGCATGGCTGCTGGATAGCCAGCAGGGCTCAGGAAGGCTCCCTAGAAGAGTACTTCTTTGGCAGGGTTTAGAAGGATGAGGAGAATTTATCAAAGAGATTTGTTTTCCCACAACCCTTCGTACTCATGGACAGGGGTGTGCCAAGAGCCTCCCAGTGGGGATTCATACTTGGATTATGCCTAGAACATCCGGGCTGGAGCCAAACTGCAGCCATTTCTGAGGGCTTCACCAGCTCAGAGAAGAAGGTTGGGCCTGTCACTCAAAGACCAGTGATGTCTTCCTACCTCTGAATGCTGGGGGAGTGGAGTGTCAGTGGTGGGCCCCTGGTCAGCCTTAGGGCTTCTTCACTGCTGCCCCCACTCAGAGCTGTTTTCAACACCTCAACCACTAGGGAACATAGAGAATTTTAGAGACATCTGGGCAGGCAGGAGGGCAGCACATTGGGAGGCAGACCTGTTGGGGCTCAAGCTACAGGACCTCATTGTGCATGATTTGGGGACCTGGTCATACCCAGGCCCCATCCAGAGCCTGGGGCTGTGGACCCACCGCTGACCCACCTTGTCCCACCATCCTCCTCCACCCCAGGCGTTGCCAAGCCCTCCACTCTCTGCACCCTCTGAAGTCCCACAGGCCCAGGCTCAGCAGTTTTAATGTCCCATATTGTATATATTTATCCTTGTAATAAACGTTTCTGTAACACCTGGCACCCTCTGGGCCTTACTGTCCTCGCCTGCCTTCACCTTTGCCTGTGTCCCATTCTTCTCCAAGACCAACCTCCATCCCCACATCTGTCTGCTGCTCCTGGCTCCCAGCGGCCTTCCTGAGAGGATAGGCCCGCATCTGGGACTCAATTCCCTGCCCTCTGGATGGGAGAACTAGTTGTGGTCTACATTGGCTCCTGGGGTTGCCCACAGCAGCAATTTGCTTGAGAGCACTGAGGCTGCCTTCCTCTCCCATCTTCTTCCTCACTCCCCTACTGTGCTCCCTGGGATCATCTCTTAGTAAACTACCTGCAATTAAATCTTTGTCTCTGAGTCGGCTTCTAGGAACTCAAACTAAGACACATACATGCACATACACATTTATCAGCATATGTGTGCACATGTGTGCATACGCCTACACCTACATACATGCATACACACACATGGGCACAGCCTACACATGCATGAAGAGCGCATGCACACGTATGCATGTGCGCCCACACATGCAGCACCAGCACGTTCAAGGTGAAGGAGACGTGGTGGCTGAGGAGTCTCCCCTGGCAGTGTCCACTCTGCGGTCACCCCATCACCAGCCCGGCTAGGCTCCGGGAAGGGCAGTGGGCAGCACACACTCCAGCCTAGGCCCTGCTCTGGTGAGCAGGCTGCCTCACAGCCCAGACAATTCCCACCGCTTTCCCAGCCCTCCAGAATACCACTCCAGTCCTTGAGGAGAGGGAGAAGCCAGAGATTTCCTATGCTCAACCCTGGTCCTGCTCCCTCCCCCTGTCCACCCCCCATATCCCCTACCCTCAGCTGCAGGAGGAAATGGAATCAGAAACAGAGCTCCTAGGGCCTTCTTTCCTGCAGCCCTTTAGGAATTTCTCATCCTGTTCAGCCCCTGCCACACAGGCAGGGCCCCCTGCCCTGTCCTGCTGAGGCCTGCCTCTGGGCATGCCTGGGGCATTGAGGCCTCTTGCTTCCCAGCTCTGCCTGAACCTCACCGCAGGAGGCTCCTGGGAGGCACAGGGGACTACGGTTACCCCCCTTCAGCCTGGCTCCTTGGACTGGCAGAGAAAGGCTGGGGGCAGGGAGGGTCCCCTGGGTAAAGGTGCCCTTGATAAGCTGCAGTGCCAGCACATCTGTGCAAATATTACCAATTATTTTCCTCACTATAAACACCCAGCAGGATGGCAGGGAAGCAACCAACCTAAACTGTTTAAAATAGAAATGGAAATTGCTGCACAGGGATGTTGGGGCAACTGGCAGAGCAGGGCCCTGCACCAGGAATCTGGGGTCTCCCCCCACCAGCTGCCCTTATATTGCACTTGCTGCCGCTACGCCCACTCTGCAATTCCACCTCAACCTTCTCCTCCACTGGCCAGGCAGAATGAGATGGGAAAGTTCCTCTCCTGGGGATAGACAGACTCAGTATATTTCCTGGGGCTCGCCAGGACTGAGCACCACCCACCCAGAGGACAAGAAGGAGTTGTGATGAGGCAGTGGTCAGTGGCCAAGTTGTCAATGAAGTGAACCCTGCATGTTGCAACAGGAAGGAAACTGCAAGATGATCTAGTCACAGTCCTTCATGCTACAGATGAGACAACTGAGGCCCAGAGAGGGAGGTGCAGTGCCCAACCACACCCAGCAATTTATGAGCCAAGCCCAGGCCTTGCCTCCCAGGCTCTGGAGTTGCTGAGCTTGGCTGGTGATGTCTCTGTCTGCCGTGGAAACAGAAAACCCAGTGACAACCGCTGCTGCGGGGTGAATATTAACAAACTTGCTTCCCTTAGCCTTCCCTCCCAGGCTGTTTCCTGCTTCAAAGGCTTCCCCGCCAGCCCCTCTCAGGGGCTGATGGCTCAGCCCTTCTATTTTTGTGGCAAGGCAGGGGCAGGCGGGAGGGTGATAGCTTTGCTTGCCTCAAGCTCACCGCAGCCCCTACCACCACCGCCACCAGTGCTCTCACATCCTCTCTGTGACAGGGGGAGGCGCTACTCTGGGGGTGGGAGGCCCACAGAGATACTCAGATGTTCTAAACAAAAATAAAAAGTGCACGTGCAGCCCAGCTGCATTTCCAAACTCTTCTAATCTATATCCCTTGAACTGTTTTTACCTCCCTCTCTCTAAAGAGCTGGGCGGCTTCAAAGCCACTTCTGGCTCTATGAGGAAATAACAGAGAAAGAAATCCCCAGAAGGCAGGGTGACCCCGAGGCAGCCAGGAAGGGGACAAAGTGGACAGCAGGCATGTGTGCTACGTAGGCAGGGCCAGGGGTGAGGCGGCAGGAGCATGCTATGTTGATAGAACAACTTCAGTGCACAAAGCACCTTCATACCAGCCCTCTCTACCATTGAGGCAGGTGTTCCTAAACCCATTTTACAGATAGAGAGACCAAGTCCAGCAGGGCCCTGTTTCCTGTTTGCACAGCCTCCGGGCACCTGCCATGGCTCCATCCTCACCCCAGTCCCCATCCCATCTGAGGCCACCTCCTGGCCATTTTCCTCCCTTAATCCTCTCCAGCCCTATCCTAACACTTCTGCAAAGCTAGCTGGGAGACTAGCACAGTGGTTGAAAGCGCAGAGCCTGGAGCCAGACTGCCTGATTCAAATCCCATCCCCTGTGTTTTCCCATCTCGCATCGTGACAGTGACTACTGCATAGGGTTGCTGTGACAATTATATCGATGAATACTTGTATGGCTCCTACAAAAGCATCAGGTGTCTAGTAAGTTCTATGTGAAAAAGTTTCTAATTATTTTCAGTTGACCACCACCCTACATGGCTTTCCTGCCAGAAGTTCCTCACCCCACCCGCACCCCCACTCCTACCACAGCAAGAGATTAAAGCCCAAGTCCTGGTGTACAGGGACCCCACTGACCGCTCAGCAGATCTCTGGTAGCAAGTTGAAGGCATGGGCCTGTTTCACATGTTTCCCTCGCCTGGAATTCCCTTATCTGCCTCCATTCCCTGACCTTTTCTTCCAAAATGATAAAAACTTTCCAAGACACAGTTCAAAAAGATCTCATCTTCTCTAGCTCTGACAAGGCCCCGCCCCCCATGCCGCCCCCCACCCCAAAACCATGTAGAACTACCCACCTACTTTCAGGAGCCACCACCACACCCATTCAAACTGATGTCGCCGCCACCACCACAAGGACCCTTTGCTCCTCTGAGGGTGGGGCTTTCACTAGACATTCAGCAAATACTCACTGAGCTTATCACTGGGAAAGAAGTGACTTGCCACACAGCTGGAAAGGGTCGAGGTCAGGATTCTTCCCGCTGCGGTATCTCTCTCAGAGGGGAGAATCGCCCACTTCTTGGGGGAGATAGGAGAAGGGAGGGGGTCTCTTGGTGGGAGGGCCTTGATGATTCCAAGGAGGATGAAACAGACCAGAGACAGCAGGGTGGACCCCTGCAGTGCCCAGCCTGGTGGTATCTGAACGGGACAGAGCGCAGAACTCTTAGATGTTCCCTCCTGCCTTTCATCTGCGATGCCATCAAGACCCATCTTTGTAGTGGAATGAGGTCTGCACTCTGTAGGGAAATATAAACAAGGAGACGAGAAAGCCAGAGAGGCTGCCTGCTCTTTGTGTCCCTTCTGGTCTCCACGAGGTTCTGGGCTGAGGACAGAGAAGAGATGCTTTCTCAATTTCCTCTGCTCCCAACTCTGCCCCTGGGTCATCCCCTCCCCCATCCTCCAAAGGCGTCCACAAGTCTGAGTGCCACTAGCTTGTCCACGGCCCCCTGTGAAGGCCAAAGCCAGAGGCAGGAGCACTGCCTCACCCAGCCTCGCCACCTTCCAATCCTTCACCAAAGCCTGACTCTACCTCCCCCAAATCTCCGGATCCCACCTACTTCTCCCCTTCTCTGTTGCCAAGACCTAGTCTAAGCCCCCATCAGCTCTCACTCAGGCTCCTGCAAAAGCCTTCCTCGTTGTCCCAGCACACTCTACAACACAGATGAGACTTGAGGACATTATGCCAAGTGAAAGAAGCCGGTCACAAAAAGGCAAATGCTGCATGATTCCATTTCTGTGAGGTACCTAGAGTGGTCAAGTTCGTAGAAACAGAAAGTAGAATGGTGGTTGCCAGAGGCCGCGGGGAGAGGGAAGTGGGATGTTAGTGTTTAATGGGACAGAGTTTGGGTTTTGCAAGATGAAAAAGCTCTGGAGATAGGTTTCACAACGTTGTGAATATATTTGACACTATTGAACTGTACACTTAAAAATGGATAAAATGGTAAATTTTATGTTATGTGTTTCTTACCATATATTTTCGTAAAGACTGGAATAAATAGTAATAGTTATTATTGTAAAGAAATACACTACAATATTATAGATCTGTTCAGTCTCTTTTCAAACATGATTTTATTTTAATGGCGGGTGGGGGGGGAAGCCTCCTACTAAATGGCCCACCCGTACCAACCCTTGCTCTTAGCACTTTACGAATATTAATCAATGAATCCTTGCAACATCTCTATGGGTTCTGTTAGTACCTCTATTTTAGAGATAAAGAAACAAAAGTCTATAGAGGTAAAGTAACCTGCCCTTGGTCACACAGTTAGTAGGCGAAAAGCTGGAATTTGAACCCAGGTTGTCTGGCTCCACTGTCCACATGTCTGTGCATGCCACCTGAGTCACAGACATATATCTCTGCCCCCTTCTTTCCCCCATTGCTTCTTTCTTCTCCTCTTCCCTGAATGACACCGGGCAGGGATAAGGGTCATGGAGAGAGGACCACATTTTTACCCCCAGTGTATTTTAAGGAATACGTGCTTGCTGTAATCCAAGAAGCCCAATAAACCCGCCCAACACCTACCTGTCAAGCCACCTGGTGGAGAGTGAAGACAGAACAGCCACTGGCCCCCATCTGAGTGGCCAACGAGAGGCGAGGAAGGAGCCCCAGGAACCCACAGCCCATTTAGGTGGGATCCAAAACAGATTCTAAAAGAAGGAGCAGGAATCCTTGGAAACAAGACCACTAGAACCTGGGAGGGAGGTCATGCACAGGGGT